GAACTTAAGATTGCAAATCATTGATGTAATATATTATTGTTTTGATTGTTTCGTTTTCTACGGTTTATCAACCTATTGCGGGTTATTTAAAGCCAGAAAATATTTTTAGATAGCAAGAAGTTTTTTTTTCTAGATAATAAGGATCAAATGATACAAGTCTTATTAATTAACCCATAGTTAGGGGAAGAAGAGGTGGCTTCATATTTTTTCCAAGGATATTTGCGTGTAAGTGAATATAATGAATGGGAATTCGTCTCTCCGATTAAACATTCAAAGCCATTATCCATTTCACAACTCTCATATCCAAGCTTACAGCTGCTGGTATTGCTAAGCGGACATCCATCAAGGCATTGACCAGCCTCGACGTACCTTAACTTCGGTGATTGTACGGGAAGCAGTGTTTCAACTGATGGTCTTCGTAAGTATACTTGGTTTGGGGATAGGTAAATATTGGTAGTTTACAGTTGGGTATACAACCATTAAATTTGTCCTAGGATAGATAAATATTCATCGTTTATACTCGATTCTGTGAGCATTTACTAATGAACAAGGTAAATATTGGTCGCTTATATTTGAGTCTGTGAGCATTTACTAATGAACAAGGTAAATATTGGTCGCTTATATTTGAGTCTGTGAGCATTTACTTATGAACAAGGTAAATATTGGTCGCTTATATTTGAGACTGTAAGCATTTACTTAGGAACAAGGTAATTATTGGTCGTTCATATTCAGGTCAATATATCATTTACTCATGAACAAGGTAAATATTGCAATAAAACTATATTTGAGTCTGTGAGCGTTTACAAATAACAAAGTAAATATTGGTCGCTTATATTTGAGTCTTTTGAGCATTTACTTTTATCAACAAGGTAAATATTGGTCGCTTATATTTGAGTCTGTAAGTATTTACTTAGAACAAAAAATTATTGGTCGCTCATATTCGAGTATGCGAGCATTTACTCATGAACAAGGTAAATATTGCTAGTTTATATTTGAGTCTCTGTGCATTTACTTATGAACAAGGTAAATATTGGTCGCTTATATTTGAGACTGTAAACATTTACTTAGGAACAAGGTAATTATTGGTCGCTCATATTCGAGTGTGCGAGCATTTACTCATGAACAAGGTAAATATTGCTCGTTTATATTTGAGTCTGTGAGCATTTACTTATGAACAAGGTAAATATTGGTCTCTTATATTTGAGTCTGTGAATATTTACTTATGAACAAGGTAAATATTGGTCGCTTATATTTGAGTCTGTGAGTATTTACTTAGGAACAAGGTAAATATTGCTCGTTTATATTTGAGACACTAAGCATTTACTTATGAACAAGGTAAATATTAGTCGCTTATATTTGAGTCTGTGAGTATTTACTTAGGAACAAGGTAAATATTGGTCTCTTATATTTGGGTCTATAAGCATTTGCACGCTTCGGGGATAATTGTATACTAGTCGTTTATATTTGAGTCTTTAACGATTTACTTTGTTCGGGGATAGATAAATCTTGGTCTGTTATATTTGTCTCCATATGTAGTGATATTTAAATGACTGTCTAATTTGCATAGCTAAGTCACAGAGACTATATAAGTCCCCAACCAGTAAGGGAATAGGACCAGATTATGATACGCGCGTTTTGCGAGGCGGAATTGCGAGATTCGGTGCGTCGTATCTTGCTTATCATCGCTCGGTTGTTTCTCTGTCTTCAGGCAGAGCGCAACCAAAATAACTGAGAGGTGCCCGGACCTGAGGAACGGCTTTCCCGGTTCAGTTCGGTACCCCAGTCTTTGCACTAGAGAGGCGGAAACGGTAGTAATACCGATGCCAGTGCAACCGACGGGTTGGGCTATTTTTTGGATCTGGCCCGGCTGCACGCACACGTCACCCGACATCAAACTGAACTTGGAATGGCAAGTCGATATCGAATATGGTGATTTTGCAAGCATAGCTTAGATGCGGTATGAGGCCAAAATTATGGGGCACACAGTGAGGATCGAACTCACTACTCAGTCGTAATTGTTCTAGTCGAGGTGCACTAGTAGATATCTAATATGCGATTATTGTATTCTGGTCGGCAGAGAAGCAAACTCCAATAATATTAGCTCAATACTTACGCTGAAACATCGGTTCTCGTACGATTTTCCGAAGTTAAGCAACGTCGTCTGGTCAGTAGCTAGATGGGTGATCGCTTGGGAACACTAGTTACTAGCTTGGATGTGTGGTTGTGTAACGGATAATGGCTCGGAATTGTTAATTGGAGAGCCGTGTTCGAATCGCAAGCGGGTTCGTTATATTAAGCGCAAATACCGTTGGGTTAATTAGGAAAAACTTTCACAATGAACCAATGAAGGAGCAAAGAGTCACACTTTTGGTGGATAACATGAGCCATGCGGGTGGAAGGCAAAAATGTTTTCTCTAAGTCTATTAAAAGAGAGTACAGTGGAACCTCAGTTCACGAATTTAATTCGTTCCTGAAGGCCGTTCGTAACCCGAAATGTTCGTAAACCGAAATTATTTTTCCAATAGGAATCAAGGTAGAGAAAAAAAAAGTCACAGTACAATAAAATTGGAGACTAATAGCATGCCAGGACACACGAATGTATAGAATACGGCTCTCGACTCTTATTCCGTTCGGGTTAACTTGGTTTGGCAATGTTGTTCGAGAACCGAAATTTTGTTCGATAATCGAGGTATTTTCATCTTGAATTTTATGTTCAAAAACCGATTTGTTCGACAGACGTTCAAGAAACGAGGTTGAACTGTAGTTTCGTTTTGGCGGTGTTAAAATTTTAAAAAAACACTAAAAACAAAAAACGAATTTCTTATCACAGTTAACAAAGGATTGTAAGTCATTTTTCAGATCAGCTACGAATTTGGCCCTATCGAATCGATCAGCATAGATACTGAATTGGCAACTGACAATATCAGTAAGGTCGTTGAGAAAAGTAAGAACAACGTAGGTATAGCGCCCTGTGATGGTGGAAGCACCTACATTAAGGCAAAGAGATCTAGAAGAGTTCCCATCACCCTAATTTGATCTTCAAAACATATAAATGTAATGTCTTCTCAATTGCTGTTCTTCTATTGTCCTCTCTGTCTCCTTAATACTGTCCTGGGTATGACGATAAACTACATCCGGCAGCAAGGCTTCTCATCAGGAGGTTTTGAAGAGCGTGGAACCATCTCTTAATTACTGTTGTTCCCAGGTTCACCTTGACCCGGGATGATGACATCTGTTAGGCTCTCAGCTATGGGCAAATAATGAACCCTCAAACGAAGGGTCAAAACATGAAAATATAAAAATACTTTAGAAAAAAATTACCAGCAATACATTTACATAGTAGAAAAAAATAAGGCAATACATTAAATAGCCTATATGCTGTTAAACAAACAAACCAATTCTCTCCTTAATAATGTTTTTTTTTTATATATTCCCACAATCAGTAACCCTTGCGTTTTCTTAGTTTTATTGTCTTGCTGATTTTTCAAAGCAGTCAGCCATTATCATTTGTCAGGTTGACGCAACACGATCTTTCTAAAACATTACTGGCCTTGTTGCATGCTAGTTGAAGCTTCGTAAACAGAATAAGATGAATTGAATTCTCATCTGAAGCCGTAAAAAAAGAAATCGTCCGAATTCTTCTAAACGAAAAATCGGCTTATAAAAGAGAATGAATAAAAAAAAAGGAAGAATTTAACTAAACAATCTATAAGATGAATTCAATTGATAATTTATTTTTCCAAGTCAAAAAAAAAAAAAAAAAAAAACTTGCTGAAGGATATTTTGTTACTTCAATATATGGAGGATGGATTTTCAAAGGCAAACGGCATCGAATTTCGGTTGTAAACAAGCAAATAAACGGAAGATTTTCCAGTTGATGCCAAAGAGGTAAAAACGAAAAGAAAACAAAATAATCATGTTCACCTTTAGCTTTGCACATGTGATTTCATTTCGCGATGCTTTGTTAGTCGAATATTTATTCTTTTGAAAAAGAAAACGAAAAAGAAAAAGAAAAAGAAAAAAAACAAGGAAGAAAAAATACGGGTTCTGTTTGTTGCTACGAAAATGAAAGTGTAAAGATGGAGTATCTTCTAAAAATATTTAACCGCAATTCACACGCACAGAAAACCGATACGACGAATACGAATTCTCCCGCCGAAAGTTATACATCATTACATTTAGTCTTAAATTGTCTGATATTCTTAGATTATTATTATCATTTCAAACAAGGACAGCTTACCTATTTGGCCACGGTTACCAATGAACATTTAAAGTTCTAGTTATATAGCGATATTGTTTTTATTCTGATTATCTCCACGTTACATTGAGTGTTTACACCGGTTAGTAGTAGATATAATAGTCTTAATTTTATTGAATTTTCTTTTTAGACGAACTATTGTTGTTATTAATTTTGATTGTAAGCTATAATTATCGATTATTATTAAGCACGGTGGTGCAATGGATAGAGGCTCGGATTGAGGAATCGGAGAGCCGAGTTCGAATTCCAGGCGAATCCATTACATTCACTTACGTACTAATAGCCTTCAGAAAGGTATGAATCCTCTTCTTCTCTCTCCTATGGGTAAATAGCTGGACAGACCGGGGTCTGGATGGCAACTGGTCTACTGCAGAAAGAAATGGCAACGTACTGCGGGAAAAAAAATCTGCCTCGTCAGTCATGTATGGAAAGATACATGATTGTCTAAGCGTGTATTGCGCATGACACGTAACTGACTGAAATGATTTGATCTTAATTCATATATATATGTGTGTGTAAGCGTGTATCAAATAAGTGACTGAGTGACTGATTAGTAAATGTCTTCGGGGGGGATGCTTATTAGGCATAACTTTGAATGTCAATGCCAATATTTAAACTTCCAGTGGTTACTTTACTTTATTTACGGATTCTTTTTTTACAGATTACAACCGAGTTCCAATTCCAATTGGGTTCGTCATGTTCACTTACACGCAAATACCTTTGTGAAAGGTATGAATCAGGCTTACGGCCGCATCATGTTGAAACACCGGTTCCCGTACGATCACAGAAGTTAAGCAACGTCGGAAACGGTCAGTACTTAGATGGGTGAACAACTAGGCGCAGTACGCTTGCATGTGCGGTTGGTGTAATAGATAAGTTGGGTTCGTTATATTCACTTACGCGCAGATACTCTTGGGAAAGCTATAAACCACCCTCTTCTTCCCCCCAATATATAGGTTAATTAGTAAGACTTGTATCACAAGATTATTATTATACCTCCCCCAAAAATAAAACCTTACAATCTAAAAATATTTTATGGCTTTAAATAATCTGTAAAGGGGCGATAATCCGTAAAAAAATGAATGAATGAATCCATCACTAAACCCCCGTGGTGTTGGGTTGGGGGTTGGTCTGTAGTGAAAATTAGCAGTTTGAAACGTGAATTTTAACTGGACCGGAAACAAACCCTGGCCGTTCCAAGAATAATCAAAATTAGAAAACTTAGACATGAATTTAAACTGAAATGTCCTCTTTATAGTGGGCTTACGGTCATATCACGTTGAAAGATAAGAAGTTCCCCGTACGATCACCGAAGTTAAGAGACGTCGAGCCTGGTTAGTATCGAGATGGATGTAAGTTTGGATGTACATATGGTGTGATAGAACCTTACTGTCATATCACGTTAAAACACCGTTTTTTTGTACAGTCACCGAATTTTAGCAACGTCGAACATGGCCTGTACCTAGATGGATGACGGCTTGAAAATATCAGGTAAGCTTGGATATGCGGTGGTATAATTCTAGGAATTGTTAATCGGAGGGCCGAGTTCAGATTCCCGTTTGAGAAAATTGAGAAAATTATGAATCTACAACTTCTTCCCCCAGCTATGGGTTAATTAGTAAAACTTGTATCATTAAACCATTGTTATCTCCAAAAAATAAAATAAAAATTACCTTACAAAATATTTAGATTTCGGCATTAAATAAGCCATAGAAGTCAATATGCCAACCAGTCGACCTCTTTATACTGAACAATTACAATTAACTTATTTACATTATTCGGACTATTGTCCTCATCTTTGTCGCCATATTTATCATCGTTGTACGCTCCGGCCTTCTTCAGGTGGTTGGAATGTCGAACTGAACCCTTTATTTCGCTCACCGGGGTAGACTGTTCTAGTTCCACGTGCCATGTTTGATGGATGTCAGTTATCTCCTGCTAATTTCTGAAAGTTCTCCACTGCCTTAACCGGGTATTGAACTCACACTTTGAGTCCTGTCACTGGATCTAACCAACGCCTTTATCTACTGTGTCCTTGAGGACATCTGGGTATGAATTTCTGGGTATTATAAACCTAATGTCTTCAGCAACCATTTTTATCAGTGCTCATATATGGCGACAAAGATGAGGACAATAGTCCGAATAATGTAAATAATGTACATAATACCTCATCTCAGAAATATAGCCAGACTCTGAATTACAGTTAAATTTTACAGGAAAGAAAAGGAAAACATTCAAGTTTCGCAATTATTACAAATCTGGTATCTGTAATGACGACCAATGAGATTCGCAATAAAAATGTCAAAACGTTTTTTTTTTTTTTTTTTGCGTTTCGAGCAACAACTTAGCGCTAATCGATTCCATCTTTTTTTTTTTTTTTTATCGGTGGTCAGCTCTCGATGAAGCCTATGATGTATAAACTTTGGTTTAGAGGTTGATATATGTTTTCACATCTATAACCAGAGATTTTTTCAACAACGGATCAAAGAAACAGTTTTCACTCCTGTCCTTTCTAATAAAGATGATTAAATTCGTGGTAAATAAATTGAATCTTCCATACATTTAAGTGGTTCTTTACTCTCTCTCTCTCTCTCTCTCTCTCTCTTCTCTCTCTCTCTGTGTGTGTGTGTGTGAGTCTGAAAAAATGACATTATTTTCCGAACAATCTAATTAATAGATAGATAGATAGATAGTTACACACACACACACACACACACACACACACACACACACACACACACACACACAGAAGAAGAGAGATAGTCAGGGATCGATTAGCTATATATGCACAAACTCAGATAGATATGAACAAACAGATGCCTACGAAAAGGCTGAGATAGATAGATAGATAGATAGATAGATAGATAGATAGATAGATAGATAGATAGATAGATATACACACACACAGAGAGAGAAAGAGAGATAGTCAGGGATCGATTAACTATATATGCACAAACTCAGATAGATATGAACAAACAGATGCCTACGAAAAGGCTGAGATAGATAGATAGATAGATAGATAGATAGATAGATAGATAGATAGATAGATATTTGCAAATTCAGATTAATGGAACGCCTACTCACTAGCTAAATATTTAAAAGCTGGGAGGGGTTTAATTTAGCATTATCAAAAATTATCGTTTTGCAGTTACTCCAAGTTTGAGACCCACGATGACAACCATAGTGATTAATAATGAATACATCTTTTGCTTTACGATCAACACTTTCGAGTCAAACGACGCCATCTTTATTTTATTTTATTTTTATTTTTTTTTTCGTTGGCGTGCTCTGAATAAGACTACGGTATTAACCATAAAATGTGTCAAGGGTCACTCGATACGGCAATACGCACTCAAAGGGAGCCTTATTCATATATTAATATTGATAAAGCCTTGCCTTGATTTGTATTACGCATAGATGCAAGGTTGACTGGATGACGGAGGTGGGGGGAGAAAGAAAAAAATGTAATGGAAACAAAATTCCCCGGCATCAAATTATGTTCCCCATGATTAAAGAGATGGCAATTGTTCTTGTAAATGGTTAGGTACTTCTTTCTTTCTTTCTTTCTTTCTTTCTTTCTTTCTTTCTTTCTTTCTTAATTTTCTTGTCTCTTTTTTATTTGACTTTCCTATTATATTTCTTTCTTTCTTTCTTTCTTTCTTAATTTTCTTGTCTCTTTTTTATTTGACTTTCCTATTATATTTCTTTCTTTCTTTCTTTCTTTCTTTCTTTCTTTCTTTCTTTCTTTCTTTCTTTCTTTGCTTTGCTTTTTACTTCATTTTCTTCTCTTTTTATTTCACTTTCCTATTTACTTTTCCTATTATATTTCTTTTTACTTTTTTCTGTTTTTCTTTTCCTTCCTACTTCATTTGCTTGCCTCTTTATTATGCTCCATTCTTTTCTTTTTTTTTTTTTTTTCTTTTCTTTCTTTTTTTTTCTTTCTTTCTTTCTTTCTTTCTTTCTTTCTTTCTTTCTTCTTTTTCTTTCTTTTCTTTCTTTTTTTTTTTTTTCTTTTCTTTTTTTTTTTTACGTTATTATTATATTTTTTCTTTTTTTTTCTTTCTTTTTCCATTGATTATTTTTCTTTCTTTCTTTCTTTCTTTCTTTCTTTCTTTCTTTTTTCTTTTTATTTTACGTTATTATTATATTTCTTTCTTTCTTTCTTTCTTTCTTTCTTTCTTTCTTTCTTTCTTTCTTTCTTTCTTTCTTTCTTTCTTTCTTTCTTTTCTCTTTTTATTTTACGTTATTATTATATTTCTTTCTTTCTTTTTCTTTCTTTTTTTTCCCTTTTTTTTTATTTTTTCTTTCTTTCTTTCTTTCTTTCTTTCTTTCTTTCTTTCTTTCTTTTCTCTTTTTATTTTACGTTATTATTATATTTCTTTCTTTCTTTCTTTCTTTCTTTCTTTCTTTTTCCCTTGATTATTTTTCTTTCTTTCTTTCTTTCTTTCTTTCTTTCTTTCTTTCTTTCTTTCTTTCTTTCTTTCTTTGTTAGCGGAAATGTCTCTCATCGCAAATTGCCCAGTTGAAGATCTCTTAAATTAGATTTTCTTGCTTATCTATATTGCATCATTAAGTCCTGTTTCATTGTCGGTGAAAAAAAAAAAAGGTAAAAGTTGCTGACGAGGTGAGTGGGCATTGAGTGACAATAAAATTAAAAAAAAAACAAACATGCAAGAAAATAAAGATAAAAATATCTTGTTAAAAGGCTATTATTGCAGCTTCATTAGACAATGGGACAGACGATTGCGAGTATTTGTTCTCGTCGAAAATGTACACATACCTACACATATTAAAATGATCATGTATCTGTATAAACTTATTAGTGTACTGTATATATATATATATATATATATATATATATATATATGTGTGTGTGTGTGTGTGTGTGTGTGTGTGTGTGTGTGTGTGTGTGTAAAAATATATAGAAAATAGGAAAGAACCCGTTAGGTAAATAATCCAAAGTTCTTTAGTATTTTTGTTATTATTTTTTTAAAAAATAGTGCTCGATACAAAAGTAGAGCATAAATATAATTATTTATTTAAAAATATGATTCCATCGCTACATAAGGGTCCTCATGTTTCAAAACAAGAGCCGAAAACTTCAATATAATTATTTGAATTAAATTGAATTAAAGCACTAAGCTCTGTTCCATCTTCAAGCAAATTTTTTTTTTAATTCAATTTAATTAAAATAATTATATTGAAGTTTTCGGCTCTTGTTTTGAAACATGAGAGCTCCTATGTAGCGTTGGAATCATATTTTAAAATAAATTATATATATATATATATATATATATATATATATATATATATATATATATATATATATGAATCTAAAGATCCATGGTAAACCTATTTATATAATTTTATTTTTTAATTTCTCGTATCGTCAGGTAAAAATGGCCAGCGTACCCTGACGATATTGTAGGTGAAACCTAAATTAGGTTTTTGCCTGGCTCTTAAAACTCATGGTTAGATTTTTTATACTATATATTGAGCATATTTTTATATTATTTTTAATTACACGTGTTTGAGTTTTTTTTTTCTTTGGACTCTGAGCTTGGATTCTGGTCGATTGTTTTCGCCTGAATTACATGTTCTTAGTTCTTTTTTCTTTATTCCTTATTTTTCCTTGGGTATTGATTTGTTCATTTACAAGCCAAAACACCTAAGGTTTTTCCAGACGAGTATAATTACTTATATTTATAAGATTATATATATATATATATATATATATATATATATATAATTCATTGGACAAAAGTCTGACAATTTATTAAAGATATTTTTTATGTTTAACATTCTTTTTAAAGATACAAGTATTTAAGAAAATGCTCTG